GCCTGGTACGCGCAAGCACGGCGCGGCACGTAATGTTTCTCCGAGAATGCTTCTCTCGGACAGGTAAGAATCCTTGGCCGGTTATCTGCTTCGTGGAAAGGAATATCCGGCAGTCAAGATTCCCGGGGACCGTCCAGGTCGTCGGACGGAGGATCCGGGTAGAGGGAAGAGTACGAGCCAGAACCCGTTTATCGGAGTAATGAGACACGCGTCATCCTCGGAACTTGTCGACGATATCGGTTTGAAGGACTCCATTCTACCACTGACGTGGGGATGGCTTCGGATTTTCATATTCGGAGACGGGGCTCGATGAAGGGACGTGATTGTTTATTGAGTTCCATCGAAAGGCTCATCAGCGGTGACTCGAGCTCCGAAAGAGCATCCTGGGAAGTTCCCTTTGTGCCTTGGCTCATAGAGAGGGAAAGGGCGAGACAAACTCCAAAACTCACTGGAAAATAGGGCGAGCATCAAGTTGAGCAAATTCAGAAAAAACGGGGCGACGCCCAGGGCCATTCGAGGCTTCTTGCTGCTGCTGCTGCTCAGTGCTCCCCTAAGGAGACATCCGTCCAGGACCGGCGTCTGCAACTGTGCACTCACAGCGTTCGAGGTTTGCTCTCCCTTGACGCTTGGGGAGATACTTCCCGTGAGGGAATCCCTTCCTTGATGTTTCCGCTCTTGATTTCTTTCTTCTCCTGCCCTAGCCCCGGCGAGTCTGATCGAGCTCCAAACGGAACCCGCTCTTCGCGTGGGCGTTCGGAATCATCAGAGACAGCACTGAATGAGTGAGCGAGATTCGTGCCGGTCAAATCTGAAATGGCTGAACCCTCCCCGCAGACTCGGGTAGGGATGCCTGGGAATTCCGTTCTCGAGCAGTGCCATCGAAAGCCAGGGAGAATCCGGCAAGTCGAGATTCAGGTCCCACTCAGCTCACGTATGAAAAAAGACGGCAAAGAGAAACGACACATGTCAGGGACTACTGAGAACATGTTGATGAGGTGTTTGGGAATTCGACTCGGCATCGCAACCCCAACGTCTCTAGCAACGCATCATTAGAGATGTGTGCTCGAGTGACGCAGGAGAATGAATTCGGACTGACGTTTCTCCTGTGAGCCTCTCCAGCCTGGAGAACGAGCCTTGTTTTAGACAACTGGCTCTCTGTGGAGAAGTCGAGGCCTCGGGAAATCTCACGGGACATTCAGACATGATCGCTGGAAGCCCCAAGGTGGTAAGCCATCTTCAGAGCGAGGATCCGAGAGCCGGGAGTCAGAGGGAAAGAGATGCTCTTCTTTCAGCGTTTCTCTTGCCGTGAATAATTGTCAACGAGTAGAAATTATTCACTCGCATAAGGCGAGCAGATCCGCCGGAGCACTGCCGCCCTGCACGAGCCGACTCAGAATGCTCATCCACGACACAGCACTTTTGCGTCGCATAGCGGCTATTCCGACGTCTTCAGTGCTCCATTATGACAGATACGCTTATCTCGAGTGTATTCGGATGCGGCATGACGGATGCTCTCACCTAGATCCATGGGAGCCAAGGAGCGCCTGGCATGTTGAGTTCCTCATGGGAGAGCCCGAATTCACAAACGTTTCCGAAAAGCCGCCAGGATCGTACGATATCTACGTATAATCCTGGCGAGACGTTCGAGCTCTATACACCTTCACGAGGCGAGGATCGCATCAGGCGTTCCCGAGCTCTCCCAGCTGCTGGAATCGAGTCGCCTCCCAAATGAATCCGGAACGGGAGTTCGAGAACTTCTCATAAAGGGACATCTCATAGAACGTGCAAGTTTGCGAGCGAGCGCAAGCGCCCCAGCCGTGGCTCTGATGAGACCTATATCCAGTGCGGGCGGTGCGGCGTTGTAATTCAGGCACTAGTATCCGCGCTCTCGTACAGAATATGAGCGTTTCCCGACCCCTCAGTGGAGAGTCCCTTTAGGAGTTAGCATCAGAGTTGTAGTCTTGCGATTATGAGCATCTTTGATGTGAGAGCTGAGGAGTCCACCGAGGGTGTGAGAGCTGAGGAGTCCACCTACTGAAACCTTCCCCGATGCCGCAACTAGACTTTGTACCCGTATCGCGCGTATACCGATTCAAAGCTGTTTGTTTCCATCAGGAAATGCAGAGCACAGGCAGACTTCAATTTCAAGCTCCAATCGGGACCCGAATGAAACTCCTCAGCTGCGTCCACGATTGTTTCTTGAAGACTTAGCGCAAAAATAGCTATGGCACGACGAAGTTGTACGAGTTTTTTGAGCTTCTGTGGAACATCCGTGAGCGAGGTAAGTCACCAAAGTCGAACAATAAGCTACAGTCCCTGAGTGCTGGGGAACACTTGCAGAACTCATGACGGCGATCCCTGCCAGGTGACGTGGTTGCTTCGCTGCCAGGTCGCGCACCCACGTAATGACGACCTAGTCGCACAAGCTGAGTGCGGGAGGGAGGCTCATCGCAGCTAGCCGCGAGTCTCTGTCATCCTCGACTGCGTCAAGGGATGCGTATAATAGCGTGGAGCCTCAGCTCCAGGCCTCGATTGTCGAGTCTCCATTGATCCGGGGCAGTCGCTCTGGGAGAATAATGAAAACGAGTTTATCGGCTGGTACACGCATAAAAAATGTGAGATTTATTCTGTAGTGGTTTGCCTACATTCTTTCATTCGTTCTTCTGCTGTATAATGCTGTGATGTTTTGAGGCTCAATCCGTATAACAGAATGCATGCGCTTTTCGAGGCTAGCACTCGGCGGGACTCAACAGCAACTCTCGTAAACTTTCGAAGCTCGAACAATGTTTCTACGGCATCGAATCTCCGTCATAGCAGATATTCGATCATCTATCCCAATTTACGGGGAGGCGAGTCCAGCTTATGCTCATTCGCAAAACCTAGTATCGATCTTCTCATCATATTGTGAGTTTCTCTTGTGAATCGGGGGATACAGATATTTCTGCCTTCATCGATGAAACTGATGCCGGGTCCATGATGCACTTGAGCCTATTATTTTCTTTTTGAAGTGAGTTCAACCCCTCCCCGTGAGCAGAAGTGATGCGTCGCTGGGACATCCGTCGGCGTCGCGAAACGGGCTACCTACATCTGGCAGTCCGAACGAACTCCAAAAAAGAGCGCTTCAAGCCGGCAAGCAATAAGACCACGGTTCTCTACAGGGAGTCGTCGGATTCGAATTATCATTTGGAGCTCGTCTGGAGTGTGTGTGAGTGTGTTCGGAAATTCGGAGGGGAACCTCAGAAGACCCTGGTCAAGGATCGTCAGAGACGTGAGCAGTCGTTCACTCAATTGGACAGTCGAGCAGATGCCAAAAGCACACATTTGTCATCAGAGAGGTCTACCGGCCTCCTTTGACGGCTCGATGAATCGCTGAAGAGAATCACCCGTAGGGGTCAATTACGGGAGTCGTTTTGTCAGGGTGAAGTTGATGAGAAATAAATCGTTTCGATGAACCTTATAATTTTCCTCGCGTCTTGATGGTGACTCTTGTACGCTCGAGCAGGATCCTCCTCGTAGTATAAGTGGTTGTTTGATCATCATCATCAATGTATAAATGCTTATATATATTCATGAATGTAGTATGTTCATATTTATAAACCGATGAACAGTTGTTTTCGAGCTCAATCAGGTGTGAGTGAGGTATCGGAGTCGGATGAGGATTTTTTACAACGGGCCTCTCGAACAACGGCCCGGGACTATTTACAGCACCTTCTTCTGTTATATTTTGTTCTGCGAATCCTCCGTCTCTAAGTCGGCGTGCTTTTCAATTCCAGGTCCTCGAAACTACGTCTTAATCGAGAACCCATTTAGACCACTGGTCGTTTCGTCTTTGGTGCGAAGAAGCAGGTTTCGGGCCTATCAATCGAGTCGCGAGTTACCTCCCGGTTCTTGGTCTCACCAGCTTGAGGAACGATTTAATTCGATTATTTATTGGTCCGATTCAAGCGGTAGGTGATTTTGAGGGGGAATCAGAGGAGAAAGATCTTCTCTGGAGAAATTTGCGAAGGTCGGAGACATGCGATTCGTTCCCGGCGGGGCGTGAGTCGGTGAGCTAGACTGAACCGACTCTTAACCATCTAGTATACGTCCTCAACACTGCACTGGCTGCAATTGGCATTGCCGTCAGACTGACGGTGGAATGTCGGTGCCGCTTGGATTGCCTAGAAGGGTTTCTGACGATTTTGGCCGGTCGATCGATGGATCGCCCGACCGACCGACCGACCTACCCACCGGTGACTGATAAATAATGCGTATCGATCATCGTGCTTCGGTGCGGAGAACCACCATCAAGAATATGCCAGTTGTCGATCTAAAATGGTCACGCATTCAGCTGTACGTCGATCGATGTCAGCAGTCGTTCATCTGATGATACCAATGATTGGGACGATCTTAGTTAGCATAGTTCTTCGAATGTGTGTGTATATTTCGGTGTGGGATTATCGCCTGAGATCCTACTCAACATGTTGTTCGTTCGTACTTGTTCAATAGAAACGTGTTTTGTATAATGCGGATCCCTGAATGTATCCAAAACCATTCGCACTCTTCTCACTGTAGGCAAAGCGTCTATTCATCAATCGCTCAAACAATCAACCATCATCAATAGATCGGGAAGCGATGGCATCGAAGTACATACGATCCTTCTCGCCGCTGTCGCAGGAAACGCTCCACGTTGGGACAAAGCGCTCGCTCCTCTGTTTTGTCCGCATGAGATAGGATACCTAAGAGGAGAGCACGTCTCTCAGTCAGTCGAGTTTTACCTAGCAACTGATCGGGGCTGGGTCGAGTCGTGAAGAGAATTCAAGACAACAAGGAACGGAGGTTCTGACCGCGGATCGGGAAAGGGGGTTCGAAAGGTACAAAGGAACTCAGCGGGCGCAGGGCTCCAGGAAGGAGTCGAAGCGAGAGGAAGATGTTTATGGCGTTGGAATGCTCTGCCATTGAGCTGTTTCTACATCCGAAACCAGAGAGTTGATGCTCGGAGAATAGATCGGCTAGCTCAACTACACTTGCGTGTGAGTATTCAATGAGATACGGTCATCTATAAACTCCGGCCCGATCAAATGGGGCCCCGGCGTGTGAAACTGGAAAAAGCAAGCACGACTTTAGATTCTTCTGTTTGAACACTTCCCAACGACCCACGATCGACATCTTCAGTGCGCCCCACACCAGAAGTGACCAGAACCGTCCGAAACATGCGCCAAGGCACACGAACAGAACACTGAATTACATCGTGGAATTTCATGTCGCTCCGGGATGTTTAGGTATGTAGGTACATCCAGACGATGTATCCGGATCTCGTTCACGATGCAAATTAAGCTGCGACTAAATTCGATCCGACTTCTGACCGAAGCGAATATCATTTTTCGTTATAAGGATGATGACGGCTGTGCCTGGGGTATGCAATCGATTATTGTGAATGGTCCCGCCGATCGTCGTGATTGTGACTCATTCGAGAGAAACACTCCGTCTCCAAAAAAGCGTCGAGCCGAAGTCCGGAGCATATCCTCCGCTAATTGTTCCCTCGCTCCCCTTCACTCGGATATTCCGTCTCGTGATAAGAACAGTTCCCGGAGGACTCAATCGGAGCAACAGGTGGTCGGGAGCTCGGTGGCTCCTGATTTGTGGATGCCCGATCGGTCGGGTCGAGAATCATTCAATGAGAATTTCGAAATGATCTGATGCCGCGAGAGAAACTACAGATATCTGATGGTGCAGATTGGATGGGTGAAATAGAGCAATGGTCAAGTGCCGCGATGGTGGAAAGTTCGACTTTGGTTCTGAGTGAGTTTACATAAAATTTACATGGCACCAACGATGGGCTGGACTGTTTTTTAATATTTTTGTTCAGTCAGGCGGCGACGGTGAACTTCGGAATGAGTCGTTCGTAGCGAGATTTTTCTAGAAGGGAATCAAATCAATACTCCGCTCGCCAAAGCTGGGTCACTAAATCAACGGTTCTGTCGGTCTTGAATCGTACCCTGGCACGTTCCTCTCCGTGACCTCCTAGATTTCTTCCTGGCCCAGATCCACTCTGAGTGCCCGTTATTGACATCCGGACTTTTGCTTTCATGGCGTCGTACATGGTCGTCTGTGAACGGTGAACGAAGTATTAGATTCCTTGCCAAAGGGCGAGAGGTCAGAAATCAACGATTCAATCCATCGAGGGGGGACCCGTGTCTGAATCGAAGGGAAGTACGAGCACTCGCCTTTGACCGTGTAGCTTCTAGGCGCGATTTGTAGCAGAACTCCAAAAGGGCAACAACCATTGCGAGGACTAAGCCTCCGATCAGAATGTAAAAGCAGCCTGCTACATTGCTTAGCGTTAATTCGTTCTGCGTTGATTCCTGGAAGGTTCGACCGTTAAAGAGAGAGCCACGCTTGCGAGCTCTGCCGCCTGTTCGTCCAGAACGTAAGCGCATGCACCCGGATCTGTCGTCGCTGGAATTCCACCGCAGCGGGAGCCCGCTCCGCGTAAGAACCGAGCCGTACTGCATCTGTTTATCCCTTGACACGCGCGAAAACTCCTCTCAAACTACGGGGCTAGGATTTTAGGGAGCGAACGCAGGGATTGTCGCTCAGAGAAGACCCCTCCCCCTAGTCTCTCCCCCTCCCCCAGTCTCCCCCCCTCCCCCATAGTCGGGGTGGGGGAGGGAGAGGCTGGGGGGGTGAGGAAGAAGAACTGTGCGAAAAGGATCTGTAGTCGCCCGCCCACCTCAATCGGAATGGCAGGAAGCTTCATTGCACCAGCATACTTGATCACACACGTCGACTAAGTTCGGCTACCGGAATGGCAGGCAGGCCGGCCGGGTGGCTCGCACGCTCGCTTGCTCACCCGCCTGACTCTCGCCAGACCGACTATCCAACCGTAGGACATACAAGTAGCTCGTGGGCTCCAACGTAACACTGCCACTTGTTGAATGCGGAACAACATTCGGTCGTTTGGCTCGTGTTTCCGAAGAGCATCGCTCACCTTGTTCGCATCGCCAGTCTTGCACTCACTGCGGTCGTACCACCATTTATTTTGAAGGCGCGCCAAATCGCCGTTTTCTTTGAATGACAAAACGGCTAGATTGAGCTGGTCCCTGCAAAGAAGATAACAAAGCTCCGTGGTAGCAAACTCCTCCGCCAGCAAGAGGCGAGATTGTATTTATGTTCCCCTCTCCTCAATCTTCGTCGTTCAGGCTTCAAGTCGCTCGAGAGGAAACAGAGGCAGCGACAGTTCCGGCTGTTTAACGAGCTCTTTCTTGCACTACTTTTGCTCTCTCGCCTGCCCTTCTCTCCTCCCGCCGGCCCGCCCGTCTTGTCGAAGCAGCGCTTAATGACCGCCTCGACCATGTTAGCTCAACAGTCCTCTCCTGCTCCCGTCAAAATAGAAAGAGTCAATGTTGTATCCCGTTCGTAGAGCCCCCACAGGTCAGTAAGCGAATCCGACGACCGAATTGATTCATTCCAATCCCGAAGCCCTGATTTCCGAATTCGCGACCCAGCTGGATCAGAGGAAAATTCAAAAAGGCTTTCCGCTCCATTATTCACCTGAGCGAGGATCCGAGTGGTGTTCCAACACCGTAGCCTTTGGCGTCCAGATTTCCGCCGACCTTCATGGTATTGCAGGGTCGTCTTTCGTTGATATAATCGTTTTTCGTGGATTCCATGAGGAAAGCGTATTTGCCTTTGGATTCCCGGACCCTCTGGATCCCCTCTTCGTACGTTGACGTGAAAACGTTCTTCCGTGTGTTCATGAACTCCCACATTCGGGCATAAACAGCGATTTTCGATTTCTGTCGAGAGAAAACGAGTGTTAGCTTTTGGACGGACAATCCGGAACCCCTCCGATAACGGGAGAAAAACGTACGCGGGTCCGCCCCGGGAGCGACAAGTGTTTCGTGCGTTCGGGAGGCCACTCCTCGAGCTGGAGAGGACCGGACAAGGGATTCGTCTGAGAGTGAGGGAGCGACTTACTCGGAAGAAATCTTGTGTGGAAGACGATTCGAGGGTTCCATATTCGACCTCAGTCTGCTTCGCGAGGTCGTCGGCTGAATTGATCGGTGTCACCATGCGTTCGACTGTCAAGAACGCAGCCAAGTTGGCAGTGTACGATGAAATAATTATCAGCGTGAAGAACCACCACACACCTCCCACAATCCGACCGGAAACCGATCTGGAAAGACGGCGACACGTTCAGAAACCTCCGGGAACCTCGGATTCTCTTTGCAAACAATTGTCCGGACGAAACGCACGGCTGGACTGAGTTCCGTCGGGAGACGCAGCTGCGGCGGAGCTGAGGCATTTGTTCCGAGGCATATTCTTCGCCTGCGCATCCCAGTGTGAAACGGATTCTGTTTCTGCTGAACAGGTCGACTGGGTCGTTAGGTTCCGCAATTGAGATTCTCGCGGAAACTGAGCGGGGTTTGAATAAAGAATAACGGCGGGGACAGGTGGCCGTTTTATTCCCCTGCGCCGAGCCGATGGCAGCACCATCGAGCTTCAGGACCGCCGACTCCGAAAATGAACGAGTCGCAGAACTTGGACGCGGAGGGCGATCGTCGATTCAGCGATCTTCGCGGAACTTCTGTTCTCAGACGTTCCCCAAAGAAACTCAACTCCAGCGTGATTCCGTCCGGGCGAATGAGTGGCAAGGAATCTCGATTGTCTGTCGCGATCTAAATCTAAAGTGTTGTTTGTGATCCTGGTCGATGTGTTGTCTCGTCTTCGGAGAAGGTGTGCGAGCGTCCGTCGTGGCTGTCCCGTGTCGGCGAACATAAAGATCAAGTGATACAATCAGAGCGACTCCACCGTGGCAATTGCGTTAGACGCTGCTATGCATCGGTCTTCGTACCCTGCCCACGCGGCGCGGACCCTCGGCATGGGGAGCTCGAGAAAGAGGGAGAGGGAGAGAGGCGACGCTCGGGAATTGCGCGGAGCAACCAGCAGCAGCAGCTGGCTATCGTGTCGTTCCAGGAGAAAGGAGTTAGCAAGCATTTCCATGTCAGTTCGGTTGGAACTTTGTCTATAGTAGTTTTTCCTTCCTCCTGTCAGCAAGCTTCAATCCAGCGAAGTTTTGCGCAAATACAACATTCCCTCCTCGGAGGCACTTCCGCAGCCGAGCTCGAAGAGCGAGCGAGCGAGCAAGCAAGCTACCGACGGACCGACCGAGAGACAGACCGATCAACAAACCAACCGACCAATTCTTGGAAAAAACTTCCGTCGACTCCGGTGAGTTTTCCCCCAGGACCGCCCTCCATACACTGAGTGAGTGAGTGAGTGCGGCTGAAGCATTGCATCGCATCGCGATTCATACGCCGGGACACAGCTTTTCGCTCAACGATCGTCCCACGCCGTTCCTTATGGTTACGCGCGGTGTTGCCGTCGTTGTCATCGCCGTCGTCGTTGCCCCGCTGCGCTCGACCGCAGGGATGTTCCCCTCGACAAAAGCAATTCACGAAGGAACGAGGTGCGACCCGAGCGCCGAAACAAAAAGCTCCAGCACCATGTGTTTTCAGACGTGAAGAATGCGGTTCGCTCCCTCGTAGAAGGAAAACCACATTGGCGGTAAGCATGCAGGCAGGCATGGCTGTCTGTTTGCCTGGATGGTTGGTCGGTCGGTCGGTTGGGTAGCTGCCGGTCGGAAGGACGCTCGCCCGGTCCGCCAGGGTCTAAATTGGAGAGAAATGGTCAGGAATGAACGACAGCCCCGAATGCCATTCCCGGGCTTGCTCTTCATCGCGCTCGCCCCCCTCAGTCAGGCCGACTGGGGGTCGCGCGAGCGCTGCCGTCTGCTCGCTCCAAAGTGGGTTAAATAGCGCGATAATGGAATTCCTGCATGACGAAACTCGATGGCATTGTTAGCGTCTCGACCGACAGGAGAGAGCCGACTCGAGAGCGACGTCGAGAGACAATCTCGAGCGGAGGTCGTCCAGGTCCTCTTCAAACGTCGGTCGTTGGACAACGCAAGACTCTCACCTCCCTCGAATCGAGAGCAGTAGGTGGTGGGAATTCTCAGCGCATTTTCGTATCGCCCCAGTCTCGTGTTGGGGTCTCTAGCGAGGCGGGTCGTCTCTGATCTAGGCACTTGATGGCTGTTCGGAACGAACGAGGTGCTCATGTGCTTCTGATGAGTGTGTGCGTGATAATCTAATTATTTTTGAAGCGCGAATATACCTTGGACAAATGTCACAGCCCTGCTGCATGAAGGCCCCCAACGAAAACCAGAGGCTATTGTATAACGAGAAGTCATTGGAGACTGTCGGCCCAACAAAGGTTTCTTCGTAGCGCCATTCGTGAGGTGAAAAACGTGACACGAGGAACAGGACAACCGAAACGCCCACGTAGGCGAAAATGATGCACATCCAAATCTCCCGAGAGAGTGGGTTCATAAAGGAAAAAACGCCCGGTTTTTTCTTCATTGGCTTCTTGATCATGATGCTGATGCCGAGCGACATGAAAGGCTTGGTAAAATCGATAACACGCTCCCGCGCTGAGGTAATCGTCAACGGGGCGATGGCCATGTCCGCTTCCTGCAAAATGAGCCGCTGTGAGCCGCTGTGAAGGAGCCTCAAACTAATGCCTGCTTCGACGAGTCGACGACAGCAGCAACACAAATCCGCGCAGACAGGGAATCTGCCCTCTTTAGCCGCGCTGTCTGTCGCCGATATCGAGCTACGTCGCGTCGTCGTCGCCCCCGCTACTCCCATCATCGTCGTCAACGTCGACGTCGTCTGGAGCCATCAAAGCCTACGGGAAGCACCCGGACATCGAATCGCTAACGACTCCGCGTATGTTACCAGAGTCTAATGCAATTTCTGTGCCGCTCTCCCTTCACGACAGGCGCGAACCGGAGGCAGATATTGCTTATTAGTACATGCTGCAAGCGGCCGTCAACAAGTGGCTGACTGCAGCAACCTTTGGCGTTGCTTGGCCGCTCGCCACCGGCGTCACCAAAAGTGACAACTTGACGCTGCCTACAAGTAAAGTTCAGATGGCGGTTGCGGAGGTAGCGGCGACGACGGTGTGGACGTCGGGAAATTGGTCATCAGACCGCTGGGCAGCTGCTTATGCAGCGAAATTCGTTGGCTCCCCGACGCAGTCCCCGATACTTGCGTTTCTGATGAGCTCTCCAACCATTCCGTTCCAGCCGGACTCCGACTCGGCACTCTGACCTCCATATTTTCCGTCTTTGACAAGCCGCAACTCGTACGTAAAAGTGAGCTTCTCGGCGATGAGGTCGGCCAAATCTTTGCAGTACCCCTCGAACTGGTGGTTCCCAGTCAAATTCACCCCCGGCTCCATTTTGCGTTTCATGAGGTACGGCTCTTCCTGGAACGACAGCGAGAGAACGAAATGTTTCAGAAAAGGAATTTGCTCGGTGTTAACGAACACTGGAACTCCTGCCCGGGAATCGTGCAGAAGTCTCCGGAGATACACATGCTTGGCCACTCTCGAATTAGGAAATTCTATCGAGGACGGTTCGATCCCATCGGCTATCGGGAATCGAGCATTCCGACGGTTCAATCCTGCCACTCACAAGAATACTGGTGACGACATAGGTTTTGTTCGCCTTGAATCCAAGGTCACTTTGACCTCTCCGGTATTTGGGCGCAGAAAACACGAAGCCCAACTGGGGACTCCACTCGGCAATCTGGAGGAGAATTTATCTTTTCAGGAGACAGGTTCGAGCAATCACGGCGTCACGATGTCAGCTGACGACCACCATCGTCACGCTAGCGAAAAGGCGCGCTGCGAGTGATTTTTCATGTCGAGTGACTCCACGCAGCCAGTGCACGTATTTTTCGGAGATAGCGCGGGAAAGAGCTAACGGGAAAGACGCGCCTCAGTTCGCGACCTTGTCCCAACGGAGCATATCGTATACGATAACACGGGGTGCGACGGAAAAGACAGAAACGCACTGTGAGGCCACGGAACGCGGACGAGCGGAAGCGTCTCGTTCTCGTGGTGCACCTCTCCTACACTGAAGTTACGGATCGACGGATGGCAGAGGAGGGGATACTCACAGTTGTAAGTTCGCTGTTGACGGTCACTTCAACAATGTCTACCGTGTAGTGTGAGCGAGAGCCATCTTGGTCGAAGGAGATGTTCCCGCTCAAACCTCGAATCCCTTTGATCTGCGAGAAAAGAAAAGAAGATTAGTGAAGGGAGAGCGTATTCTTAGGTCGTGGCATCGCGTCTGCTGGGACTTTGCCCGCTCGACTCCCCAAGGCCTGAGTCTATTCGGGCTGTGAAACGTCCCATTTTTTTGCGCGTGACCATCTTCTAAGATCGAGTGTAGCAGACATCGAACACATAATATTTGTGATTGCTCCAGGGATGTCCTCGAATTCGCATTCCTCTCTAATAGGCATGTCGGGCCACGAATGTGACCGGCTGAGACCTCGACTGAAACCTGGCTGTCCACGCCGACAACCAGCCTCGACCTGGCACGGGCTGCTCGCAAAACCTTTCGGGCAGTAATGCAACTTCCGTATCCGCTGCTGTGCTGCACGCACTCCGCCATATCGTCCGTCTCCCGACATTCCTCCGAGTTATCGAGTTCGAGGAGGATTTTTCGTGGAGGCGATTCGGTCGATTCTTCATTCGACGCATTTTCGAGAGTTCTGTTTGTTTGTTGTTTTCTGTCTATTCAAGCGTTCCCAATTCGTATCGATAATCGCTGAGATCCCATCTACTCGCTTATTCTGTGGGAGAAAACGCGGAATGCGGAAGGAAGGGCGATCGAGATAGAGCTCGGCGAACTAGTGAGCCTTCAAGGATGGCGTATCACTGAAGGATGGAGGGAGTCTGCAGGCGTTTCACTTCTAACACTCCGGAAAAGATCAGTCCGGAATAGAATTGAGGAGTAATTTTTGCTTCGATATACATACAGTCTGGAGTTCCGACTCCAGATTAGGTCGCAAGTGAAACTCATCACTTCGTGCTTACTCACATTCCGCAGCCTTTGGAAGATCTCGTTCCCGTGTTCCCAAGGCATGATCTTCTCCCTTTTGCAATCGATGCCCCGCGTATTATTGTTGTACACTTCTCCGCGTCTGAAATTCTTCGCGAAGATCGCTGGGTATTCGTTGAGCAGTTGCTTGAATGCATTCAGTACCACGCGTGTTCCATCATACATCAGCGCTGCTTCGGACTGAAAGCGGAGAAATTAGGATTGCTCGATTTTCAATTGAGAAGCCCCGCATGGGATTAAAAGTTGTTCGCCACCCGAAAGCGACTTCCAAGTTCGGGATAATTTCTCTCGACAACAGCATTCTTCCGTTGTACGTGTCAGTGTGTCAGTCGTGTTGGGGGTTCAGGAGCGATTTTGGAAGTAGAGACCAAAGGCAATTTTTTCTAGTCTAGAATTCATGCAGATTCCCGGCGTCGTTGCCAAACTGGAAGGCGGGATCGAATATAGCTAATGCAATCCCGTAGGCTAGTTCGGAGATTCCGCAAGAGTTTCTGATCTCCCGAAGATTTCGCGAAAGTTTCGCAAAGCGTTCCAATCAATACCGATCCCCGATTGGAGCAGTTGCTGATCTACGATCAGCTCGTTAGCGATAATGAATGAGGCCGTTTTCCGCAAAGTTTCCGAAAACAAAACTTCGGACAAATCGAAGAATCTACTCAGCCGCGGATCTAGATCTTTTCGCCATCTTTTGATGGAGCAGTTCATCCCGAAGACTTAGATCTATCACATGCGAGTCGGAGACGAGCGACGACTAGGCTCGCCCACGGAGAAAGGTTGACGGGTAAAACTATTGCCCCTTGGGTTTCAAAGATGCATACGTCGAGACAAGGTCATACTCACAGTGATCTTCTTGGTTTTGGGATCGGGCCAGTTCTGCCGGCTCCTCTCGGTGAACACCTCCTCGTAGGCTTTGCTGTTGTTGGCTACAAGTCGGAAACCAGTGATGTTGACCGCACCGAACTCCATTGCCGGATTATTAGCGAACTCGTCCATGATCTAATAAGATTGGAGCCCGTGAGAGATCGCTGTCCCTCAATCGATTGATCCAAACTTCTCCGTGCTCTCATTCGATGTAGGTACTAGGTATAACGCAAGAATGACTCACGAGTCCTCCCAGCAGAAAGTGAAAAGTTCTCCGTCCAACGATTGGATGCCGTACGTGTTTGATGATAATCTCCCGAGTCAAATCGGCTTCGCAGTCTATCACAACGTGTTTCAATTGGTCGCGCGTTTCATTATCGTAGTCAACGAGGAATTTATTCGCTTCATTCGATGATGTTACTCGTCGTACCTGCAATTGACGTAATCATAGCCTGATTCTGAAACGGGGGCCCGGCCATCGCATGAGGTCATAGGAATGGCCCCTGGAATGGACTCTCGCTCTCCGATGCTCCACAAAAGACTTCGACCTCCATCGTAGCCAGGAGCTCACCTTAATGATTTCGAGTTTGTAGTCGTCTGTCGTGAGTTTGTAGAGGTTTTGCAACTTCAGCAATCCTGCAATGACGCGGAAGGGTATGTAGAATGCATAACCGATTATGATTGGAACTCCGGAGACGGCTTCTACTCACGAGTCGAATCGCAAGGCTTATCGGAAACAATTATTACGCAACTCCCTTCACTCGGCTTGTTCGTCCAAATGGGAAGAAGTGCTCATTATACGGCTCCGGAAGAGTCCAGAGGCAGATTCCTCCCACGGGATTTATGATTCTCCGCTCACGCTCAAAGTCACATCCTCGCCCAGGTGACAAAGAGTTCAATTTCGGAAGGATTCCCACGCAGAAACCTTCTCTGGTTCCTCTCATCGTCGCCCAGATGTATTCCTTCACGGGAGGATCTCGCCCGCTCTCGCTTTTCATAGAGAGAGCTTTAGATATCCGCACCGTGCTTCTCCCCCTTGGGGGGTCCTGGACCTTGGAACCACTTGCCGTCGGCGGCGGTCGATTCTTTCACGGAGTAAAATCAATACTTCTTGTATGGTCTCGATTGAGATCTGTCAACATGTCGTCATGGCATCTCAGCCTACGATCCATGTCGACGATGAATAAAGTCAGCAATGAATAATTTTTTGATGGCTCAATGCTCCTCCCGCGGAATTTTGCTTCCTCTCGCTGCAGTCGTGGAATCCCGAAACAAAGCCGTGGCCGCCACGGTGACGCTTTGAGTTGTGCATGCGCGGCGCATACGACAGAGGAAAGAACCCCCTCAATCGGGAATTGTGAGAGGAACATTTTTCGCCTCAAAATAGAAGCCGGAGCAGCCGCCGAGAGAAAGGCGCATTCCCGGGGATCGGGCGAATCCGTCGCAAGATTCCGCTTTCTCACTCACTGAGAGGAAATCCTGGATGATATTCCCGGGCTTACCTTATCCCTCGATTCAAACTGAAGTTTTAGGCTGAATTCGACAGAAACGGGCAGCTCGAGCCTTCTTGCAATGTTTGGACAGGCTCCATTTATTCCTTTGCTTGTTGTTCCGAGCGCTCAAAGTGCGCCCCAAGCACTAAGACACACGGCGGTGAAGCGGACGGTATCTAGCTCATGAACCTTTCCCGGGGCATTCAGGTCTCGTGGGTGTTTCGCCATGAATATGGCTGTGTTTTATATCACTGCCGCCAGAACTACCGTCATTATCATAACCACTGCCACCAGCAGGTTCTCCTGTCCCGGAAGATGCTCCGAATACAGCCAGAGGCATTGCAGGTTCTCTGGGCAGACTCACGAGTCCACAGGAATTTTAAATAACACTCTGAATCGAATATTCAAATAGAGGAGAGATCGACGACTCGACTCCGACCCCCGAGATCAGCTCATGCAGCGGACGATCCCCCGATTATCTAAGCGGGAAGTGAGGACTCCCTCCATTGTTCGAGATCGGCCAACGCCGTCCATGCATTGTGATACTTACCGTCGTCCGAGTCGTAGATGTAGACAATCTGACGCCATCGATAATGTTGAATCAGGTCCAATATCGCAGGGAGATAGTCGGGTCGCATCGAGATTCCGTATTTAGTTTGTCGAATACGGGTATGGTAGGGGAAAGACGGACTGACAAAGGGGATTTGAAAAGTGTTCGAATACGAGATCAAGGTCTCGTACGAGGTCGCGGTCGTCGTAGCCACCATGGCAAACGTTCCATTCTTGAGAATCGTACAAACTGCGAAATAATAAATAAAGGTAAGGCATACGGTTCATTTCCGTTCGGTTTGAGATAGGATACTTCCACGCGGAGCCCAAGCGGTCTTATGTGGAAGCTTTTCGATTTTCGAAGATATCTCTGTTCAAGGAAGCGGGGACCGTGTACGCGATCGAAAGCGGAACCGAAGCTGCGAGGAATGGCGAGTATCTCAGTTCGCTTTCTTCCCGCCGAGGAGAGAGCGCTATGAAAGCGTTGATTATTCATTCAAAGCCAGGCGCCTCGAAACTTTTTACCACGGCGTTTCGGACCAGCCTCCCGCCGTTCGCCACAGCCCTACGAACACTCGAATCGCGAGGAAGCGAGCCGGTGTCTTAGCAGCTGGTCCACTCGTGGAATAGGATAGCTCTCAACTTGGTGTTTCCGAATCGTTGACATCCCCTTCCCTCATGGTCAGTGCTTTCCGGTTCCTTACCCATCATGCATGCCCACGCGCGTCCGGAAACGGCTGCTCCTCGTACCCCCATGAAACTCTGATTAGCTCAAGCTCCCTTGTATTACTTGATTTGTAGCCAGACGATCCCTCAACCTTGATAAGTCAGAGTCGCCCCACAGCTAGGAACAAGATACACGAGCGTAGCAGATGGGGTCAAAGAAGTCTGACATCATCATGGGAAGACTCGGATGGCGGACCGAGAAGCGAACTCTGACTTCGACTTTATGAGGGAGTCGAAACTATTCGACCGATGCCTACGGGAGCATCGGGACCTCGATCCCACGGGAGGCGAATGACAGAAACAATTTGAAGAATTCGACGCCCAGCCAAAGGGAAGCAAAGCTGGTGAGGCACCGGTCGCGAAGAAAAAAATACGACGTGCGACCATCCTCATCGTCACGCAGTCTTTGCCGTATCTTGCACGGCTCACAAAAATGTCTCACATATATTTGAAAATATCTTTCGGAATTCCGGCTCGACATGCACGTACAGACGGACGGAGGAAGGATCGGCCCGATTTCTCAGGGGAGTCATCTGACCGCTCAGTTTCTGCGTCAGTTGGCAGCGTCGATGTCGTCTATATCTTTTTCTGGCGATTCAAAAGTTTTTTTCCTAAGGACATGCGGACACATCTCACGCACGAATGGAGTCTGCGTTCTCCGCGGCAGCGCGGCGTTCTATAGCAACTCCCCATCCAACGATCTATGGAGGAGGGTCGTGCGAGCTGGTTCTGCTCCTGAAATTTCGAGGGTTCGAGCTTTCGTGGTGAGGCTCGCGACTCCATTTTAATTAAACTGTCAACTAGCGGTGAACTTTAATAATTCGGATCTCATGGCTCCGACTCTTCTAGAAGTTCCATCTCTTCCATCCGATCTACCATCCGAGCCTTCCTTTTGAGCGAGTGAGCCATCGAGGTCGAGTTCTGCACTCAGGTCAATCCGGGGGTTGGTGAATGGAAAAGTTGAACACAAACCCGACCCGCACCTCACAAAGACCCTTGACCCGTTGATATCGGGCAAGTACTTCTGCTGGCTCGGAGCGGCCGATCAATGCAGAGACTGTTCTTAAGCCGAAGGCAACCCACCCCAAAAGCAGCTCGGTATTGAAAACCGACACAAGACGCGGTGAAGGGTTGAATACCAGGGAAATTACTCGACGGGGACGTGTGACCGGATCCATTGACGGGGTACGAGAGTGTTAGGGAAGGGTGGCAGAGAATGGGACGAGCGGACTTTGACCTAGAAGATGGCGCTGTTTGCCCGATGATTCATCGGACGCTGACCGCGGACCAATAGAAATTCATATAAACGTTTATGACCCTACAACGCTCATCAAAATGCCCAAGGGCAATTAGCCGGGTCCGTGGTCAAGCCACCGTCACGCAGCCGCATTCGCGACCGTAAACTCCAGGATTCCGGAAACTTGTGGCCAGCTGCAGGCTGGGTTAGATTCTGTCGCGGATTCGGGATTTCGGGAAAAGTATAGTCGTATTACGAGGATTTTCCAAAAAGCAAAAAAGGGCGACCCTTCGATCCGGAATCGCCCGAAGCTGAAGTCGATTATCATCGACAGCCGTGAACTGGCTGCTTTCCCGGCCCATTCCGAAAAGGTGTTCTAGGGATTAAGGAGCACGAGCGGTTTGTTTAACATCGCGCGATTCCGAACGGCGCGGCGTGCTAGAGTGCACATTCGACTGGCCACCGAATGAATCTGGAGGGAGCTCGCGGTGCGCCGAGCCGGAGTCTCGTTTTTTCGGCAGGATCTCCCCGGAATTCTCGTGTCACGGACATCATGTTATCGCTCGGTGTTGCTGCAGGGGAGCTTCCCCATGGTATTGATGGAGATCAATCGGGAGCGAAACCGGAGTCGCATAGTCCTGGACAGGTGGGTAGACCGACGCGACATTGGCGCTGCGATCATCGTCCCCGACACACCACGCTGAATGTGGACTCCATATTCACCCGAGTGATGCTTAATCGTGTCTGGTGTTGCATTCGTGTCCATCCACTGGACCCTTCATGGATCGTGGGCATCCCGAGACCGGCGAACGAGAGGAATAATTTATTCCCTCTCGCCTTATGTTCCTCTGTGTCTCCGGCCAGGGAAAGGTCCGGAGACACTTCTGGTAGAAATCCTTAACGGATCGGTGTTCGCTACGGTAATCTGACGCCGAAGCTCGATTTGTGGGATGGGGGGATCGGAATCGCGGCTTGTTGGAGGCAGAGCAATCTACCGGCCTTGAGCATTCAATCCTCCACTTACTTTTCTTGGCGACTTGAAAGGGATCATCCGATTCGAGTACTTCGACATGTGGTGTGACTGAGAATAATTGGTCTCGATAGTTGTGTACCTCGATGGCATGTTCAAAAGCTGCGCGGAGTTCTTGTTGACCCGGGAGAAATATTGCACCTGGAAACAGTAAAAGAAAATTATACCCGTGACTATATCGGAGTACGTGTATGCCACAAAGGGAGTAGCTCACTATTAGAATCGGATTCCTAGCCCTGATCTCCCTTTCCGGAACAGGTGCTCATTGAGGCTCGAACCTGAAAATTTCCGCGCCGAAGGGCCACGCATTCCGGTGCTGTGATCTCCCAGACCGATTGGAAGAGTTATCTTCGCAACGCTCGTCGAGGCGAAATTGCCGGGAGACGAGTCGGCGTTCAGGCAGCAGGGTACGATCTAGTCGATGTTGTATCATATTATTCCGCACACTCATGCCTCGAGTCGAATCGAGCGGCATGCATGGGACCCCATGATGTACTTTTCATGAATGTTTGCTACGATACGAGTTTTCCTCGCGTGCTTCTATTTTATCCTCATTATCTCTCCGCTCACTTAGTCCTCATATAACTTGCTACCTCGACGCCTGTTGAATATATCAGCAGTTCTCTATAATGCATTAGTGCAAACGACTTTCCTTATTTCCTCGCACGCAATCACATGCGACCGAGCCGTCCTTGTCAGCAGCGTAGGGTGTTGTCGCTTGTAATGTATGTAGCTAGGTATAAGCATCATTCAGCGTCGTAAACAGCGAGAATGTAGCCTCGAGGAAATAAGAGCACCGCGTTCTCGCGGTCGCCGCTCCGGAGGCTTTTTCTCGAGTTCATTCATCCACTGCGTTTTACACGCGACGCCTTCATCCCACCTCATGAGGAGAGAAGAAACGGAGAGAACCAGTTCCGGCCAGCCGGAACCTACCGCATTCGCAGGTGAGGCGTAAAGCCCTAGATTGACCGAGGCGCTATGTGAGATTTATGGCCACCGCCTTCTTGTACTGCTGGCCGTTGATGAAAAAACGATATAAAACCGTCGAACACTTGGAGCTCGCAGAAGAGATTCTGTATGAGTTGCCTCATGGCTACATGCCTCTGAGCTTTCTGAAAGCACTGCCAGCTTGGAGGAACTTCAGGTTGGAGCGCCAGACGGAACGATATACTTGCATACGTACGTGCCCCTGAGGACTCTATCGACGAATTGCCCTCGATGAAGGCAAACTCTTCCTCGAGTGAGTGAGGAAAGTGAATGATGCTGAGCGCTTGAATGAGGATGACGGTCCTGTTTCTGCTCTGATCATCACAGATGCCAATTGTTCCCATCTGCATCCGGAAGGTTGCCCCAGAGAATCTGAACTTCTAAATTATATTCCTTTCTATGGGCTCTCGAGTTGGGCCGAAGTTGGAACGGTGGAGAGGTGCCTTGGGACCCAGGCATCTCTCTCACTTATTATTTCTTATTCGCTCTATTCACAGCGGCATCCGGCGTGAACCTCTCGAGAGTTTACAACGATGGGAAAAATGTTCCGTCTACTTTGACCGATTTTCCGAACAGTAGCGTTATCAACAAAAAACTGTCGATTAAGTTTCACTCTCCGCGAGCGTCCGCATCGCCGTACGCCCATGCAAAAACTATGTCATATAGTCACAGAGTCCTGCCGTGAGAGCTCTTTCCTGCATAGAGGGGGGGGGGGACGAAGTTCGTCGTGTAATTTATGCATTCGAACCTTGAGGATGCATATCATGAGACGGAGCTCCGTTATTGAGCATTCACACCATACACGGAGAAGAGGTTCCGAACATCATTAAGAATTCGCGATTCTCAAATCCCAGATCAATTCTAACGCATACGTGGGTCGAATCTCCGAAGCTCGCGGTCCTAACTCCTAACAGACGATCACGCACACCAAGTACTCGAACGTTTCGCGGCGGAAAAACTCATCGAAAATATCGAGGCGGTCCGCGCACGTCGTTCAGCTTGGCCTGTCTAATGGGTGTGTGAAGGTATTTGGGAACGTTCCCGAGGAACGGGGTAAGGCTGAGCTCGCGGTGACGGCAAGGGGCTCCGGACCGGCTAATATTCAATAACCTTTGACTGAGTCGTCGGCGGTGGTGAGCGTCGGATCGCCAAGTCTTCTCACTTAGAGATATACGTAGTTCAGACCGGATGCTGGCTCGAGGAAGACGCTTCCTCTCGCCGCTTCAAGGTCGACGATCGGCTGAGAGGCTGTCTGGCGCTCCGGCTGGCTTTGCAGCCGTAATCAATGCTGTGATTATTTGTCTGTATCTGTACGGGAACGGAGCTCGGTGCTCGCAATTGCAGTGCTCGCTGCGTGCGGGGAAAAAAGTCAAAACTCAATTTGCCCTGGCACGGGATGGAGATAAGAGGAGATTCCGGCGTTCACTTTGAATTCCGCTCAACAGGCCACCGGAGATAGTATCCACGGAACAGACATCGCCCGGAAAGAGCACGAGAATAGAATTTCCCGGGCGGTAGTTGCGCGCGTCGGCGCTTCGCGCGGTCCGCGGAGATAGACCGAGCAGAGGAATAAATGTCGGATGGGAGAACGGATGAACAATTAGGCGATCCAATTGTTTCGCTCAGATGGCATCGAAAGCCAGCTCTGATCGACTATAGCCTCTAACGAGCTTTGTGACAAATCCGACTCGGATGAGATCGAAATCGCGCGCCTGTAAGGGAGTCGGAAACCCTAAACACGGTGGGCAAAATCCACGGCATCCACTTGCGATATCGAATTTCGAAAATGGTACAGATACCATGTTGCCGCTTATCTCGATGCATCATACCTCATAGCTCTACACTGTGTACGTGGTGTTGCTGTATAAGTCCGACGCAATGAGTGATTGAATGAGCATGAGACAAGGAGGCACATCTCCGCCATTGTGCCCCTACGCACCCCGTCTCTAGGTGACGCTAAGCTCGGCTCCGTGAGCCGTATCCAGGAACTCGGAAGCGTACGGCTTGTCCCGAACAAGAGCATCGGATTCGGACCAAGCTATTTATATCTCCGTATAAGTACGTGTAGCTCCGAATATTCAACGGAGCGCTCGGGTCTAAACTACCGACTCGTAGTCGTTAACACACCTCGTTTGTTTCTGAAACTCCTTCCCTTGGAGCGATCTTTTTGAGACTGCAAAACCTGACTGCCCCGGAGGTTCCGGGATCCTAGCTCCTGAGTGTACGCACATATTTAATCCTCTGCGTAACACCGGTGCTTTTCTCGTGGCTCGTCGACGGGAGATTTGCTCCCGAATGCTGATCGTCGCTCCAAGTTCCGTGCAGGGAAAACAACAACTCGGACGTGTATTAATTTTACCAGCTCCTGGGAGGGGGGCGAATTCGAGCCGTCATGAATCCGTCGCGCGAGATCATGGATTCCACCAGCAGTCGCACTCGACTGGCGGACTTGGTGGCTGAAATCCAAAAGACTCGAATCGACCATAAACTTTGCTCGGGAGAATTGTTCCCCCTCACCGTTCAGTCAGCGTCACGTCGGCAGGAAAACGCATCACCCACTCTGGCGTCTATTCTCCAAAAACTGGTCGCTCGCAAATCGCTCCATGGCTTTCTGTCTTAGATGCTCCTCTCCGCGTGCCCCCTCCCCCATGGGTCTTTGGAGAAAGCTTTCGGCAGTCTCGCCTCTCAGAATGAGCTCTCTTTCCTGGCCCGTTATTTTCGAATATGATGTATCGGGAGAGAGGAAGTCGTTTTAGGTATCCTCGGAGGTATAAGTACGTATAAGCATTGCCGCGCAGCACCGAACAAATCCGCAAAATCTCCCCGAACGGTTCTCCGCTTTCCCGAACCCTAGCATGTTATCTGATAGTCGGTCCGACCGCAGGCGTTCCGATCGCTTGATCCTTTGTTCTGCCACCTTGGCTATCAATCCGAGCTCCGGGAGTGGGGAACACTTTTTCAGACGTAGCTCCATTGTATATAGGTATATCTCTATTTATCTGACCGAGTTTGTTTGTGCACGTGGGATAGGTTTATAAATATAAATGTCTCTATACATTCCGTAAGATGCGCTTCTGGGTGAGTGCGCTGTCGTTTGTAACAACAAATTATTCACGAGCGGGCACAAGAACACCGGTCGACCGCTGCTGCAGTTGTGGAACTCACTCTGCTGCTACCCATGGCAGCATTGCAAAGGCATGGAAGTTTTTCTTTTCTGCTATGCGGGCATACGATTATGCCTCGTTGTACGATCGCCATACCCAGCCACGGGTCTGACCGCGGCGGCGCGGCGTCATGTTCCGATGTTTCGGTACGGGGTAAAGTTCAGGTTCTTCATCTGATTTGTCGATTCGTTATCGCGCCCATAGACGACTGGCTCCGATCGAAGACATCAATGCGCGCTGATTCCGGATAATGAAAGAATTCTCGAAGAATATGAGGGAACTCCTTGTCGAGTGAAGAATAATCACTAGATTCATGGACTTAGAGAAGAAAGACTCTTGAGATAATTCTCTTCACCACAGATCTCCCGAGACAGGCTTTAGGGAAAAACACCGAGATTCCAAGCTTGCCATGCCGCAGCTTCCCGTCCGTCCCGTTCCGCCCACGAGATCCCGTCAGGACGACCTCGAGATCACTAATCGACTGTGGCAATGCGGGAAGAAGCAAGACAGGATAAGGCACGGACCGCACGAGCCTCTCGAGAGGTCTTTCATTCTGAAAATCGCCGGCAACTGCTGACGGCCGCCGAAGCTTCCGTCGATGATATCGGATATGATTCCGGAGAGAGGAGACATAAAAACATTCATCTGGAAAGAGCCTTGTCAGATTGAAAGTCTCCGATTTCGTGCCTGAAGATTGGACGTGGCTTCCCACTGTCGTCCTCCCAAGACTCCGGTTTCGGGTTTATTAAGGACGAATGAAGAAATCCCCAACGACTGCACGCCACAGCAATTCGTCTCAATGTTGCCACAAGGAATTTCCTTCCGAGCGATGTCCAGACGTCTGGGGGTTCATCGACCGCGAGTATCCCCGGGTCGGATCGCAAAGTGACTTATTTCGAGCGAATACCATCCCGAAAAAAAGGCGTGAGAATCCTGACGCGGGCTCCTGGCTCCAGGCGTAGTTCAGCCTTCTCTGCGAAACGATGTGTC